ATCAAGTATGTTTACAGAGTGTTTTTGGGTATTGGCCAACTTTATACTAATTATACCACTGCAATTCAAAGTACTGTAATTAAAATCCATTATCCACATTCTTGGTCATTTCAGAATTTCCTTTGGACAATTTATCTTCATACTGAAAATGAAAGCATTCATAGCCCTTGTTAATTTGCTTGTGATATTGTGTAATGTCTCCTAATTCCTTTACTTTTAGTTAATGTTGCATTTAACATCAATTTACTTCATGATCAAGTTTACTCTACACTGTAACACACTAAGTGATTGTTATACCATTAACTACAATTCTGTACCTCAATTTAAATATTTGGGGGTTAAAACTGATATCAACAAATAGTATTTTTTGTTTGTTAAAAAACACTATTTGATTCTTACTTTCACCATTGATTTACCATTCTCTTTAATTTAAAGTTGACTGATTTTAGCCCCAAGCTTCCTCATGCTACATTGATGAAGTGATGATCAAAATGAAATCTGATCATATCACAGCCCAAAGGTAGTTTTTCATTCCAACAATCTGTCTTCAAAGATACCTAGCATACCATTTAATAGTGACACATTGCACCAGCTGCACAAACAGCAGTGTCATAAATACCTTTGTCAAAGAATTGCGCTGTAGTAATTTTGTCTCCTAGGCATCATGTTGTGCATTAAGATTTATTCTCAAGAAAAAACAACACATCTGTCCACGAATATGCCATGCAAAGATTTGGAAGAACTGATTTACACTATTTTAATCAATGCATGAATAAAAAATCAATCATACACGTATAATGCAGATATCATATAACCCTTCCATAAACACATGAAAAATATTCTTCAGGATAGGATCACATATGAAAAAATATAGTTATCATTAAAACAACCCTATTGCTAAAATTCAAATAAAAATAATCCTGAACATAGAAGTGATGTAGTGGTTGATGGCAGTAGTGCTGTTTCAATGTCATCCGGTGCCCAGGGCAAACCTGTCATGCCCCTCCCAATTGTCATCTGCATCCTCATCCTGATTGTCATTTGCAGCTGGGATCCCACTCCCAGCTGCCATTGTTCTTGCCTTACCATCCTATCCCTATGCAGCTCTGGCTCCACCAATTGGTTTTCATGTAGAACTGGAAATGCACAGAGATATTATTGGAACCTTTTCGCTGTGCATTCTCTGCCAGTCTCCTTGCACTGATTGTAAGTAGCACTGGACCAGCCAGAGGTGAAATGAAAGGCAGTCCACCAGGGACATTGCTATGATTGTAAAAGACCTGGGACACCCATGGGCAGTGCAACCAGAATTAAGATGTAGTGCATGTAGTGCACCACATTGAATGGAGGGTGTGGTGACACTGAACTAGCAGAGGGAGGGGCTTACAGGTGTATAGATAAAGCCCATCTTTAGGCAAATAACCCTCTCCTAACCCTTTCTTTGCCCCTCCCCCCAAATAGTCTCCTCTCTGCTTTTGTTTACAGGATGAGGGGGTCTTACTTCGACTGACACATCACTGTCTGCATAATGTGGACACTTCCTATTGGTTGTCCAGCAGTGGGGCGAGGATGTAAAAGAGCAGTCTGTGAGAAAGGACTGTCACAGAGGTGTGAAAGGGGTTTACTATTGCCTGGAAATGGGGTTTAACTCCTTAGTAACCAGTGACGTCCATAGTACGTAGATGGCACCGGGCCATTTAAACAGTCTCCTGGCAGCTAAAGACGCCAGGATTCTGTTTACAATTGTAAAGCCGACTGTTGGCTTTACAATAGAAGCAATCAGGGGACTCAGCTGTCGCCCAATCACTTCTCTGGGCCGGTAAACGGGCCGCCCCCCCCCTCACCAGACACCCCCACCGTGTTTCCCGGGCTCCGCTGCCCCTCCTATGGGCTTGGGAGCGGCTTCTCTGGTGTCAAGGGGTAGCTGGGGAGGAGATTGGAGAACCTCAGTTCACCGATCCCCTCCCCGTACAATGGGACCGGGAGCGATGCAGATTACATCACGTCCGGTCCCGTAGCTGTCAGTGCTGGACTCCTGAAGCCCAGCAATAAGCTATTGAAGTGCAATCTGCACTTCAATAGCTTATTTTAAGTGTAAAGGTGATACTAGGGGTCTTTTGAACATCCAGCATCACCTTAAAGAGTGCCTGTCACTGCCAATATGCTATTACATGTGAGGCTTGTAAGCCCCCCATGTGATAGCAAAAAAGTAAACAAAACAAAAACAGTTTTTAAAATTAATATTAAATTAAATAAATGCAAAAAAATGAAAACTTTTTAAAAAGGCCCCCGCGAGCATGCGCGTCGTCACGTAAACACGCATCGGGTGCGCCTACGTATGAAAATGACAATTGCACTACACATGTTGGCTATCGCCGCGCACGCCGGAGTGAGAGCAATAATTCTAAGGCCAATATTTATGTATATCTCTAAACTGATGACCTGTGGGGGCCTCTAAAGCTTAATCTATGGACTTTTTGGGGTACTGGATTTTGTCGCAGTTTCAAGTTTCATGGACACACACAACCTGGGCATGTTTGGTTTCTATTTACTCACTGTAACCTCATCATGTATATTGTATTAATAAAATGGGTATTTAATTGTGTTTTGGGGCATTTAAGGGCATTTTTCAATAAATTGTGGAGTTTTATAATATGTTGCGCTAATATCGTGCAACATAAAAATTGGCAACTGTCATCGTTTTATTCTACAGGATCTTGGCTTTCAGAAAATATATAATGTGTGTTAGTTTGAAGTAATTTTCAGGCCTAAAATGTGTATTATAACATGGGTACAAAAAATAAAAAAGGCCTCTGTCACTAAGGGGTTAAATAGGACATTACCCTAAAGGCCGTATACATATCTTACATATGCCATAGTCCTTGTACCCACAAAATATGCTTTGAAGAGACTTCTTCATCATTATCAGTATGCAACTTTGCAGGAAGTCTATTGAGATCTGTATGCCAGCAGAGAGACTTTGGAGACTTTGGAGCTAGTGGCAGCATTTCCCTGCAAAGCCTTACACTGACAATGCAGAGGGTGAAAGCAGAAGCCGCTTGTATGCAGTGTAACAGCTGTAGGAGGAGCTGGAAGATATTAGGATCTGACATTCCCAGAAGTGTCAAATTTCTATTCATTTTCCAGGGCTGAAACATAAAGGAATAAAATAACCATTAAAACATAGCACACTTGTATCTGTTATACTTGTTTAAATAATAGTTAATAGGGTCACTTTAAATTATTTTGCCCCAAACAAGAGTTTCACAGGTACATACAGGTGAAACTCGAATAATTAGAATATCGTGCAAAGTTCATTTATTTCACTAATGCAACTTAAAAGGTGAAACTAATATATGAGATAGACTCATTACATGCAAAGCAAGATAATTCAAGCCATGATTTGAAGAAAAAAATTATACTGGCAGCGGCGACTGTGCGGGGGGGGATGGGTGCCGCGAACGAGCACATATAGGCGATCGGCGGGCTATGGACCCGCTGATCGCCTATATGTCAAACACCCGGTAACGGGTGTGTTTAATGGTCAGGTATTTTCTGCCCGTGCGTGCCCGCTAGGGGGCGCGCGCAAGAAGAAAATAATTGCCGTCTGGAGACGGCAACCCGCAAATGCAGCAGTGCCGTCCGTCCGTTTTTTTACTACGGGCGGACGGCAAGAGGTTAAGAAAAATGCTGGTATGAGGTGGTTAAAACTCTGACCTTGGTATTGGAGCACTATAATTAATTGAACCCTTAACACGCACACACCTTAAAGTGTAGTTTGAGAAAACCCCTCTACATGTTTGTTATGTGATCCTGTGCACACAGCATAAAGAAAAATTATTTTTTTTACATTTTTAGATGTTTTGTTACAGCACACAAGATTGCTGATTCCATGTTTTTCTCAGCAGCTTCCTGGTGATCTGTCCTAATGTAAAGGCTTAAGACATAAATTTGAGGATTGTTTCTTTCATTCACTTAACATACAGTGAACAAACCACCTCAAACCACTCACAGCCTCTCCTAACATTGTAAGGGAAGATAAGCAAGTTACCCGTAAAGCTCTATTTTATTTTTTTTCGCTTATGCTATGTGATTGGGAACATGGAAGAAATATAAAATAGTTGTCCCAATTTGCCTGCAAAATTGGAAATACACTTTAAACCTACTGCTTCCCTTTGTTTATTAAATTCAGTTCCTTAATTCACAAACCCTCCATTGTGAGAGGAAGAGGAGGACTTTGAAACGTAAACATTTCCAGTGCATCCCAATG